CAGAAAGGTAACACCACACTGGGAGGCAATAGAGGGGGAGACAGGGAACTGTTCATTTTTCTTTAGAAAACAAGAGAATCTTTTGCAAATCAAATGACTGATTTAAAAAAAAACCAATTAGCTTTTAAAATAGAAAATACAAAGAAGAGGAAGAAATGGTTTTTCTCCTGTGAAGTATTAAAACTTATAACAAAGTAACTAATATACTAGACTAGGGTATTAATAGTTATACAGACTTATATTTTATATTTATTATATTTCTATAATATACATATATACATACTTTAATCCATACTCTATAGACAGCAATGGAACACTAGATCAGCTGCACAGGACAGCATCCAGAATAAAAATCCAGGTTTATATGGAAAACTGTTTCTTGATGGAGCTGACATTACAAGTCAGTGTGTGTGGTGGGGCTGACGGGGGAATTGCTTACACCACCTGCCATTGTGGCTTGCTGGGGGGAGTGAAAGGTCCCAGGATGAGGAACCCGGGCAGGTGGTAGCCTGGAAGGCACTGCTGGAGCCACAATTGGTGCATTGCTGCCAGGAGACGCTGATGCCCCTGGCCTGGGCCACACTCGAAGGCCGCTGACCTGAGTGGACTGCCTAGAGCAGAACGCATCCCTACAGTCACCGTCCATCTGCAATCCCACGGGGTGGGGTGGGGGTGGGGTGTTGGTGTGGGGGACGAGGGTGAGCTGCGAGCTGCGCTGGGTGGTTTGAGGGCTAAAGGGGTGGCTGCCTGGAGCTGTCCTGGATGTTGGCAGCATCACCCTCTGAGCCCAGCAGTTGCCTCAGGAATGTGTCTGGCAGGACGTAGCTGGTATAGGAGGGCACCCCTGGGAGGCCCAAGATGTGTCTAGTCAACCCAGAGACCAGGGTTTCTTCTCCACCGCCCATGGCATCGAACGCAGTCGTCTGTGCACAGCTTACAGAGGACTTTCTTCTCCTCATGTAACTGGGGTCTTCAAATTCAGTTACATTCCTGTTCCTGCACTGAGGAATGGCTAAAAAAAAGAATCACAAGGCTGATTCATTTTACTATGACCTTCGTATTTTAGAAAGATCAGACCCAACTGGCTTCCTCGGCTCCCCAGAGAGAGTATTCCTCATCGCCCGGTGTGGTCCAGCTCCCTTAGCCTCCAGGATGCTGCTGCCTTCGCCGTCAATTCATCTGGCTCCGCCTCTGCCCAGCGAAGGACCAGACCTCTTCCCACAGAGGGCTGCTTGGCAGAGGCTGCGCGAGGTGCCCCCAACAAACCAGTCACTCCTCTTTCTCATCTGAATGAGGGATCTCCCTCAAATTCAGGTCCCTCTGTGGTACCCACAAATGGATTCCTCGTGGATGTGTTAAAACCCGCGGGAGAAGTTAAGGAGAAGCCAGAAACTAAAGAAAAAACAGTCATTGCTTGTGTTTCACTGTCTCTAGGCTACTTTAGGTCTGAGAATTGACCACAATCACCACAATGTAATATTTAGTTAAACCTGAAATGACCACTCCTGGTAAATCCGCCCCCCCCCCGCCCCCATCACCCGAATCAACGCCTTGGTGCTGCCGATGACTGCGCTGAGAACCGCCTCGATGCTGGTCAACCCCTGCACCTGTCCGCGTCTGCAGACTAACACCCACTCTAGCATAAACCAGGTGACAGAGACGTTAAAAGGAGAGGAAATTTGCTGACAGAAAGTTGGGGCAGATCTCACAGACTTCATCGCCCTTTTCTCCCCTGAATTAGAAACGGTTTCTGTTGGGTTCCTTTCTAGCCCCCTCATTTGCCTTCATCTCAAGTTTCAGGACATAAACGGTGAAGGAAAATATGGGTGCTTCCGTGTGTCACAGGCCCAGCGAGGACTGGTTTTTACGGTAACTAGACAGCAAGTAACTAGGAGTCCTGGCCGAGGCCGGGCTCCTGAGGAGTGTGGGCAGTTTCTGCCCCGGGATGGGCGGCCCATAAGTACTTGTGATGCGGGTGGATGCTGTTCTTCTGGGCGTTCCTGGATCTACTCAGCGTTTACTCCGAGGGCATTTTATTTCTGCACAGTTCCCCATGGATGCATGGGTGACGGGGATGGCGGGCTGGTGGGCGGGGCAGAGAGCCCCACCATTGGGCCAGCTCAGGCCCGTCCAGCCCAGCTCCTGGGACCCTGCCGAACAGCTTCATAAATCAACTCTCTCCACCATTTTTATTTTTATTTTTTGCTTTTTAATCACTTATGTGGTTTGTTAATAAAATTTTGTAGCTTTAATTTCTTAATAATTGGCTCCAGGACATAGGCTGTAAATCAGTCTACCCCAGGTTGCCTCTCTACAGGCACTCTCAGAAATCAGCTGCTAAATTTCCCATCCAAGCCTTTCTTTCTGTTGTTTTTTAAAAATATATATTTATCTATTTTTATTGATTTCAGAGAGGAAGGGAGAGGCAGAGAGAGAGAAACATCAATGATGAGCGAGAATCATTGATTGGCTGCCCCCTGCATTCCCCTACTGAAGACAGAGCCCACAACCCAGGCATGGGCCCTGACTGAGAATTGAACTATGACCTCCTGGGTCATAGGTTGACACTCAACCACTGAGCCATCTGACCGGGCCATCCAAGCCTTTCAAAGGCCTGCTTTCTCACTTATTACAAAAATAAGGGAAGCTGTTGCCACCCCATTTTCCAGGAGCTATTCCTGCTCCCTGGCATAGCTCCCTCCTCCCCATCTTTCACTCCTCTCTGGATTTCTTATTAAGTCATGGTTTTTAGTTTCTGACCCTTACTTCCCCCCTCTTAGCTTTATAGGTTTTTCTGGTTCCTCAGCTTTTCTAACATTTCCTGTTTGCTGGTGGGAATCTCATCACCAACGTGTTATGAATTCCACCCTTCCCGGTCAGTGGACGGTCTCCTTGCTGTGCCCTTCCTCACCCACCACTCTCTTGGGACATCGCTCCCTATCTGCCGGCCTGTCACTCAGAAATCTGACAGCCTCTTTAGCAGCCATCAGTGTCCCTTTAGCCTCTTAATATACTTTCAAAGCCCCCACCTCATCCAGGAAGCTCCTTTCTCTCTCTCTCTCTCTCTCTCTCTCTCTCTCTCTCTCTCTCTCTCCTCTCTCTCTCTCTTCCTCCCTCCCTCCCTCTCCCTCTCCAAGGCAGCTGCTGGTGCAGGTTAGGGTGCTCCTACATGACCCCGTGTCCTCTCCGCAGTGGGCATTCAAGTATATGAGGGCTCTGGGCAGAAACCCTTGTCTCTTCTGTGACTGTCTGTCTTGGTCCTGGCTAGACGGGTCCTACTATCATCGGGGGAAAGCCATCATCTCATAGTCCAATGCTTCCACTCATCAGTGGTTCCTACTTTTGTTTCATTCCAATACCCTGTTATTTAAATCTTTGAAAATTGTAATAAAAATGTGCATCATACATCCCACTGAGTGTTGCACAGGGGTTTTGAGGAAGGCACACAGGGACTATACGCTAAGATTTTTTTTTCAGCCACATTTAACAGTTGCTTCTTTGGGGATGGGGGATGTTGAGTAAGGCAGTTCAGCGATGCGGAGAGAGGGCTCTGGAGTCCCTCTGTGCTGGTCTTTCCCACGACCCATGTCTCGCTGTAGAGCGAGTTCGCTCACAGTGGCAAAAGGTGGCTCTTGAAGGGCTGGACTGCTCGAGAGGCCAGACCGCACATCCCGGGTTTTGGAGCAGAGAAGAAAGGGAAGTGAGGAAGAACAAGGCCTGAAGAGTGACCCTCTCAGATTGGACCCTCTCAAGTCCAATCTCCACCACCGCTCGCAGCCCTCCCAGAAGCAGCAGACAGAAAACATACCACGCACAGGTTTGTCTTCTTTAGAAAAGAGCACAACTCCAGTCTGTTTCCTGGGGGAGGTTCCGGGGGAGATAAGAAAGGAGCGACCTGGCAGTAGAAAGCAGAACTCAACTCGGGTGATGGGAAAGTTCAGTGGAGAGAAGTCTTCAGTCCAGTCCAGCAGTGATCAGGAAGGTCTTCCAGGAGGAGGCAGCTTGTGAGTTATCTTGAGAGGGAGGAGGGGTGTGGTGAGAACAAAAAGATGGAGCAGGAAGGTATAGAGTGGTGCTTTTCCACAGGTAATAGGGCTAAAATCACCCCAGGCATCTGTTTGAAATGTAACCTCTGAGGCCATACCCCAGGGAGTGAATTAGAAGGTCTGCCTAGGGCCCGGGGCTTAAAGAGACGCAGGACCCCAAGGTAGGAAGGCGCTCAGGCTACAGCATCATGGAAGCTGTGCAAGGCAGGTCCAGGTAACCACGAAAAGTTCGGTTTGCTTTACATTCTTGATTTAGAGCAGGACTTATAAATTAAATACCTACAGGCATCAGGCTGGGACACGCACTGAGAGAGGTGGATAGGATATAAGTGGACATGGACAAAGTGTCTCTTCCTACAAGTCAAGGAGCAGCAGCCACTTCCCTCCAGCAATTACTGCCCTTTAGGAATGGGTACCCAGGACACCAGAGTTTCCACTTTCAAGAGAAGCCTGACGCCTAGGTTTTATATAAATCTTTCTCCTCCCATGATTAAATAGTGGATTAAAATTCCATGAGCACCAAACAATTCCATGCGGGCCACTAGTTGGAAAGATCAGAGGGGCAGAACCAAATCTTATTGTCTGTGGACTTGACTGATAGATAAAACATGTAAGGAAGTTCATAGACTGTTGTGTACCCTTGGGATGGAGTGGAGGCTCCATAGGAGGCTCTTCCAGTTGGGCGGAGGGGACAGAAAAGAAAGGAGAGGATGACAGGTGCTGAGAAACAAGAGTTGAGGAGATACAATTGGCTGTGGGAGGAGGATGGAGAGAGGAATCACCTAGAGACCGGTAGGTCTAAATACGTGCTACCTCTAATCCTCCTTATTCATTAATGCACGCTTATGTTTCAGTTTCATTCATTCTGCAAAAAGGTAACTCAGGTTGCATTCTGCTCAACGGGGAAATTTAGAGTCATTTCTTTACGGGAGAAAAAAAAAAGCACAGACAAAATATTTTATAGTATCTATAATAAATGCAAAGAAATCAATACAAACAAAACTTGGCTTTAGCAAACTGTACATACATAAATATCTTTTTTTTTTTTACTATAACATTCAACTTTTTTTCACATAAATCCTTCCATGATTTTATTTATTACATCCAGTTTTTCTTTATACTTTTTAAAAAAGTGCCTTTTAGATTTACAGCTTGTGCTTCTAAAGCAAAGGTTAGAATATCATGCCCCAAAGAAAAAACAGGCAAAAAGAAAGCTGCCATGTAAGCTTTTCAAAATTGTATGTTACAAGGCTTAGCACTGGTTGGTTGGTAGATCGTTCGATACCAACGTGGCGCTCAGGTGGTGTCATTTAATGAATGGATGGGGCACACCGCGGGAAACTTGCCCGGATGGTGTGCTACAGTCCTGGGTGTGCATAGAATGGGCCAAAGGCCCAGGACACACGCATCCAGGGGACGTTGGAGGTACTTCATCTCTTTAGTACTGAGGCTCAGAGTTTCAAACAACATTTCTTCCACACCTTCTTCTATTTGCTCTCCTTCGGTCATTGTTTATCATTCACCTCCAAAGCCATGATTTGGACACGTGGCTAACGCCACCACTCCGAAGGCCTTCGCCAGCATTCAGGTGCTCCTTTCGCTAGTTTGGGTTGGCTTTGGGCTAAACCCTCCTTACACGGCCAGCACCGCTGCAGATGGCATCTGCTTGCTTCAGAGGGGAGGAGGGCCGTTCGTGTATCTGAGCATGGGATGGAATGATCGGGCGAAATTGTTGGAGAGGGCACAGCTGTAGTCTTCCTCGGACATTGGTACCAGGCAGGCGAGCCCGATGAGGAGCAGCAGGAGCAGCTGAAGGGGAAGGGCTGCTCTGAGCACCCTGTACAGGAAACCTCGGCCCGGCCGAGCTGGCTGAGGCTCAGAAAGGGAGAAATCGGAGCCACCTTTTATGGACCTGAGAGAGGAATCAACAGAAAAAACTCAAATATCTCAAATGTTGGATGGATGCTGCTTTTAGCTCCCTCACCTTCTTGGAAGCTACAGGACCATGCCAAACACAACCCGACCTCGCCATTAGCCGCCCACCTTCTGCAGTGTGCCCAGGTCATCCCCCCACCACCCAATGAAGAGATTCTTGGAAACTGTACTGATGAAAAGTTAACATTTAGTCAGTCAATGAAAGGCAACTGAGTTCAAATTCCACCCTTTAATTTGGTAAAACATTTCCCATCAACAAAGATAAGTGCTCTATACACATTCTACCAGCATAAATTAGGTTGATCCAGAATAATTAAGATGTGGATGTTTGATGCAGTATATTTTTGGGTTAAGACTACCAGGAGCACTGGTAGCCAGAATTAGTTGCTGTTAGAGTCACTTGAAGTATCCTGTCTAGTCCTTCCAAATGTGCCAAACTCCATGCAGCGAGGAGAACAGCCCCAATCATTTTGCACAGGCCCATAAAGCACAACTAATCTTAGAGTACCCTGGTTTCATCTTGCACTGACTCAGTACTGACTCAGCATCTGTCCCTGGCATCAGTGGGTTCTGACGCTGTGCGAACAAGGATGACAATAGAGTCGGTGTACAGAACACTGGTGTTGAATGACTTAGAATCTAGGCTGATCCTATTTTTTATCAGCTGTTTTCTTTGGGAAACAGACACAATTTTTCTGAGGACAGATGGTCATTTTTTGGCTCCTTCTACTCAAAGTTCTATGTTTTCCCGTCTACATTTATATCTTCCTATCTACTAAACTGTGCTTTTGAGATTAAGCATGAATTCCACATTTCATAAGAAAGACTGCCTGAAAAACATTGAATGTGGAAGTAGGTTCTGGGTGGGGGCTGAGGGGGCACCATTGTTTTTTGTGTGTGAGCATCCTTTAATAGTTTGGTTACTTGTGGAAAAGATGAAGAGAGAAATATTATTAAAAAGAGGCATTTTGCATACACACATACACACAAACACACAATATTGTAGGAGCAAAAAGACTAGGTGTGCTGAAAAAACATATTCCCCCACCTAGTAAAAATTCCCTAATGGCAGTAATATCACTAAGGATAAGGACAATGAATATGAGGCCACTGGAGAAATATGAAGGTGTGAAAACTGTATTGGTTACTCCGTATGCTTTTCTAAGAAAAAACTAAGTTTCCAGCTGAAATACTCAAAACTCTTTTATTAAAACCATCAAAGAAATATGAGAGGCAAACAGACCAGGCCTCCGGAAGCCCCTAGGAGCATGTGGCCCACTGTGTCTTTAGCATGTGTAATGAAAGAAATAAGTCATTGGCCAGAATTGGGACTCTCTTTCTTTTCTGAAGACTACAACTAATGGCTGTGTAACCTTGAACAACTCACTTTATCCCTAAATGCCAACCTCTTACTCAACCCCTTCAAGTTAGACTAGATGGCCTTCCAACTTGAAAGTTCCATGTTTTATACATTGGATGTCTTCTACTAATTAGTCAGTGTAAATAGTCGGCCAACTAAGAGGCCACAAGAGTTCAATCACCATCTAGTGGTCAAACTGATTAACCGTCCTTATGTTAAGACCAATGAGTTATTCCTAATGAGCTAAATAGGAAATTTGTATATTTTGTGAAATACAGTAGAGGGTAAAAGAACAATGGCACATGCCTACTAATGGAAGGGTAAAATAGGAAATTCTTGAGTACTAATGATAAAATATTCATGTTGAGAGAAGGCCTTATACAGTATATAACCCATCTTCTAATTTTGTAGATGTTGGTAAGGATAGTTAACATATTTCTAATTACTAGGCAACGTACTAAGCATTTATCTTGGGCTCTCTCATGTAATCCCCAGAATAGTCCTCAATGTGTTTGTTATCTTCATTCTATAGATGATGAAAAGGAGGCTTAGAAAGGGGAAGTAACCAGTGACTTACAGCTTGCAAGTGGCAGAATTAAGTTTTCAACCCTAGGATTTTAACTTCCAGAATTTGGACTCTCTAGAGAAGGTAAATGACTTGCCCCAGATCCCAGGATTAAAGGAAGAGATCCAGCAGGCACTCAGAGTCCCAACATCCCTGCCTACCATACTCACAGCAACATTTTGTCCCCTGACATTGATGAAGATCATCTGGGTTATATTACTTTACAGGTATCTTACATGTATTAAAAAAAAAAAAAAACAGAAAAATATTCGTGTCCTCAAATGTTTGGAAGTCAGTGGTTTCTTCATGTTGAAAATAAATGCCTCCAATCCTGGGGGCTCACAGTATTACATGGATCATCAAGTTAGCACATGCACAGGGGGACATTTTGTGTTCAGACAGTTGCACCATGTTGGCCAAGCAGCACAGTCTCTCTGGTCTGGCCTTCAGTTTTCTTATTTGCAAAGCGAAAGGTTGCATTCATATCCTAAAATCTCTTTGGCTCTGGCAGTTCATGATTCAATGGTTTGCCTTAAAGTGTCTTAAGAAGGATGGGATATTTGCCCATGAATTCTGGGTTGAATTTTTCTTCAAAATACCTTCTCCTTTTCTCTTACAATGTGCCCTCCCCATCAGTCACTGGAGGAGTTATAACTGAAGCACAAAAGAGAGCTCCACGTTTCCTCACCACTCAACATTTAAATAAAATGAGAAAGATTTCTGACTTCTTTTCTTGAGGAAGCATGTAAGTTCATTAGTGATGGTTACATGCATGCATATAATTGACAATACAATCGGACTGACAGAGCTGAATAGCCCTTCCTTGTCAATGATTAGCTTAAGCCAAAGATCAAGATCAAAACAGAGGGTGCCCATTGACGAGTCCACCCCTGAGAACAAGAGGAAAGGTCACCGTCTTTGCAATGTGGGCTCACATGTTATAGCGTCTGTTGAAGGACATGGCACATTTAACAGCATCAGAGCATTCCTTATTAAACTTTAATTACCACGTGCCTTCTAATGCTGAAGAATGCCCACCTAAGGAGGGGTGATGAGCCGAGACAGGGACAGAGAGAACTCGCAGTCCTTAGTGAGCTTCCATGCAGCTGACTGCTCTTGGAAACGCCCGATTTATCTGCTGAGAAACATGCCAGCCCCTGGGAGCAATGACCAGGGTTTCAGCTTTAATGCCCAAAGTCTTAAAGCTGCGAGTACCATCAGGTTAATGACACCAGGGTTAAAGGGTACTATGACTATTTATCCATTGACCTAAAATCACCTCTATTTCAAGAGTCTTAGGAAACTTGACAAGGGAAAGCAAAAAGACACTAGTCACTCATCTCTCTCCAGTGGCCTGTTACATAAACAGGTACCAGTTGAGAGTGTATCTATAAAGGAAAAATTAAATGTGTGACCTTATTCAAGGAAGTGAATCATAAGAGATATTCCAGATAATTCAGCCCAGCAAAAACGTGTTCATTCTCATAAGTAAATACTTATTTTATTATTTTTCTCATTAAAATGTCTGGGTAAACAGTTGCCCAGGTGTTGTATCCTCTCTTTCCCCTAAACACATACAGTTGCGGAAACAGGATGGTAGGGGAGGAAGTCATACATCACCACACACCACACACAAGAAAGCATGATCAAGAGATGCGGGCGCCTGACCATATGCACAAGAGTACGACTCCTCTCAAACTTCTACACAGTGAAGGGAAATAAAACGGGTTAATTCTGTGCATACACCAATCAAGCACAGAAGCTTGCAGCTCATTCTGTTACTTGTCAGCTAACCCTGGCAGGATGGTAACAGGAATTTACTGTGAGGGATTATCTAGCTTGTCTATGATCTTGTTGCCTACCCTTGTGTGCATGGTCTTTGTTCCCTGGACATGTGGTTCGGCACACACACTTCCAGAATCAGTTCAGGATTTCAGCCTCCTCTGATTCCAAAAGGAGCATTCTGCCTGGTAGCCCAAGCCCTGGAATCCTTTCAAGTTCTACCCGCCAGCAGCCCTAGAGTGCAGTGGTTAACAAGATAGAATCCCCCAGAGTCAGGTGGACCAGGGTTCAAACCTAAATCTTTATGCCTCTAATCCTGTGTCCTTGTCTGTAAATCTGGGACTATAGCCATGTCATGGGGATGGTGCGAGGGTTAAATGAGATAACGGGTATCTCATGCTTTGTGTGGTGCTTAGAACACATTAATGCTAAGTAAGTGTCATCAATGTATTATTATCTGTACTATGAAAGCAAGGGTGTGCTGACTCACACCCTCAGAGGTTGGCTGGATTTAGCCTTTTCTCCCGGGAACATTCCTGATTTCCCAGAAGTGCTTTCAAGGATGTACTGAGTTTCCCAAAGTGCCCGGGAAACACTGGGGATGCGCGCCTCAGGTAGTATAAAGGCAACAAGTTGGAGCCTTACCCTATAGCTGTCCTCAGCCCTGGCTGGGGCCTGGCCTACAGGCAAGGCTGCTGTAGGCTGAGGCTCTTTGAATGTTTTGAATAAATAGGTCCCCAGGCTGGAGTCTGGAGGAAAAGACTTAAAAACAATTTTTCACAAGAAACTGAATAGTGTTTTCAGGCCAGCCTTGCTGTACGGGGCAAAAGCCCACTGTGCTGGCTCCACGAAATCTGGCTGCCTTGCACATACTTTAAAATGAGGTGCTTTTTCCCTCCTTTGCAGTGTTTCAGCCAGTTATTTGCCACTTCTCCCTGCGTCCTAGTTCTTATGTGGAAGGTGCCAGAGACCAGAGGTGCCCTGGCAATCTTGCGTTTCACAGTTCTAAGCTTTGGAATGAAGTCACCAATTCACTCTATCCAGACCACAGAGGACTTATTCCTTTGCTTTGCTGGAAATTGGAGTAAAATCTTCCCATCTGTCAATTTCAATGATCGGCAGTTGAGTTGAGAAGTCTTATTGGAGATCAGGTTAGATCATGTCAAGTCCACGTGGAAGAAAAGTACCAGGTGGACCATCAACAGCATTGCTTCAAGAGCATGCTTCTTAAATATATTTGATCTAAAAAATAATGAATAGTTATTACAAATGTATGCCCAGACATTTTCCAAAGGCTTATCCTTTGAAGAAGTCTTGGGGAGCTTCTGGTAATTGATTTAGGGAATCTCTTCATTCTGACACCTTGCAGGTCTGATAATGGCAGGGACCGTATTGTATTAATTTTGTAGGCCCAGGGCATAAACATAGTAGCATTAATCCATATGTAGGCTTAGAATATTTTTAAGAAGACGCAGAAGAGTGTCTTCCATAAAATCAAACTGAAAATTACAGCAAGCATGCAACTGACATTATTATTATCTACCTTAAACCCAAAGAATATAAGAGCGTCTCCCTTCAAACTAATAAGCAGTTTCTTCCAATTCAGCCTCTCCTCTCTCTCAGGAAGAAGACACGTTGAACATGTTCCCACTGCAGATCACTGGGGTCAAGATGCTAACCGGTGTGTGCTTCTGCAATAACCTTTCCAATTTGCTGGAGCAGTGCAAGATCAAACACAGGGTGCTCTCAGGCTTCGGTGTCAGGGAACACCGTGACACCTGGATTGCGAGTGGAGTTCATTCCTTCCCAGCAGACTCTGCATTTCAATGTCAGGGCTGGGCGCACCCCACTCAGAGGTGCCAAGGAGATAAGAAGTCCGAGAATGCTCAGCATGTTCCACCACAACCTGTCTGGCAAGGTGCTTGGTGAAGTCTGCCATTCAGGCGAAGGATCCCAGGCCCCCTGAGTAGCAAAGTGAACCTTGTGCTGTGTGCTCAGAGAGATGTTAATAAACAGCGCTGGGCAGAGCAGAGCCGAAAGGTGCCTTGGGGATGCCACCGCGAGAATGTGGCTGTCCCAGCCGCAAAGCCCTGTGAGGAGACACGGCGTAGCCCTGGCTGCCCTAAGAACCAGGCCTTTGACATTTTCAGAAAACCTGAGTGGTTGTCTGGAATAACTGAGGGAGCAGATGGAGGCGATATTTGGAAGCCCGCAGGTGGTTGCTATGGGTGGTGTTTAATAACGTAAGTGCTTTCCCCCTTCTCATTACCATCACTTATGCCAAGCCAAGAATTGGTCTCTGGTATCCTAAAAGGATGCTGTGGGGCGCTCCCATAGCAATATGCTCATGGCACGGTGCCAATTTAAGTGGACAAGATGACCATATAGAACAATGATCTGTCTATAGCACGGTGGTTTTTTTCTTATAGGGGCCTAAACAACCATCAGGGCACCTGAGGAAGTCCATCATACCCTCCATTCACATTTCATTATTGATATTTTGTTATGGGCCATCCCCCCTCAAATGGTCTCCAAACGAAATCAAAGGGAAAGAAAAAAACAAAAAAACATAGTAAAGGGACACTTAAACCCAGAAAGCACACCCAAATGCATTCTGCATTCGTTTAGCTGAGTGGGAACGACCTAAGGAAACAGCCATTCTCTTCCGTTCCTGGCTGGAAAGCCACGCCTATTCCTCAGGAGTTGTCTATGGCTCCACAGGTCATTCCTACCCCGCCCTCCTCCCAGGAATGTTGATCCCAGCTCAGTGGGGCTGAGTTTCCAGGGGGACAAACTACTCTAACACTGAACTGCTTGGGACGGGAATGAAAAGTCAGGTCTGAGGACAGTGTTTCTATGTAGACAGCTGTCTGGGGAAGCGGGCGCTGACTAGTGAAGGTGCAGGGAGCACAGACATCACACCAGCAACGAAGCAGGCAAAGCACCGCTAGCTGCAGACACAGGGACTGCTGGGGCGGGTGTGAAGCACAGGGTGGCAGCGGTGAGTGGGCTCTGGGCAGGGGCCCGCCCGGGGGTGCTGCTGCTCCAGATTCCAGAGCTCCAGAGCTCGCCCCGGGCAGGAGGGTGAGTGACTGAGTGTGCTGGGTGCGTGAAGAGAAATTTCAGGGGAAGCAGAAGAGAGAAGGTGCTTATAAATGTTAAAGAACACTGAATTCGGACTTGCCATTTGGAGAATCCCAAACCCACAATCTGGATAAAACATGAAAAGAAAAGAAAAAGCCGGGGATGTTAGTAGATTTTATTCAGATGTGTGGGTTTCCGGGAATGGTAAAATAATTCATTGATCGATTACCTGTCTTATTGTAAAATCTAGAAAGAAAGAGGATGATAAAAGTCTGCCACGACTCAAACAGCAGCTATGTTATGGGACGTATCGAATCCTAGGTGCACACAGGATACCACTGGATGAAAAGTTCCAGATGGCCCATGTAGTGTGAATCCCAATTTTGGTGGGGTCCAAATATTTCATGCTCTGCGATTCGCTTGCACTTTCCACGTAGAAAAGTCTCTTCCAATTTATTCCGAAAGGGTGTGCACTGAAATGAGTAATTTCTCAACTGCCCCAAGGCACACCTGAGAGGCCTATCAACACCATGGGCAATTTTCATCATCCTCTTGCAGTTCTAGAACAGTGTGGAAACCAGGAGAATAAGGTACCTGCTATGTGGACTGTTGACAGAGGGTCCAGGCTGTGAGAGACTACATTTGCCTCGTGGCTGTTTGCAATGAACAGGGGGTAAAGAAAGAAGAATGTTCAGTCCAGGCAAATAAAGACAAGCTACTGATGAAAATTAAACTAAAAATGCAGCAAAGGAAAAACAAATCAAACGAAATGATCGGTACCCATGATTAAGGAAACTGGCTTTTCTTTTGCGGAAGAAATGAGATAAATTGACATCGATGTTATTGGTCCTCGAAGGGACATAAATTGTGGTTGGGAAGTCCACACCACAGTGGGCAAATTTTCTCCTCCCACGTTTCATGGTAGAAACTAAAGTGGCCATATGCTAGGCAAGCATCTCTGTATACTTACAATAAAAATAAAGTTCAGCCCTGGCTCGTGTGGCTCAGTTGGGCGTCGTCCCACCCACCTAGTGACTGCTGGTTCAATTCCCGGTCAGGGCACAGGCCCACATTGCGGGATCAATCCCCAGTAGGGGACGTGCAGGAGGCAGCCAATCAATGTTTCTCTCTCTCTCCCTCTCCTTTCCTCCCTCTCTAAAATTAATAAAAACATATTTTTAAAAATAATCATAAAGTTCAATATACCATGCCACACCATATTTTTCATATCTTCTAGAACACCAAAATAGTACCAAAATTCTTGGTAGATAAAAAAATAGTAACAATGGTAATAGGAAATTGTTCTTCGTAAAGTGATGAAGACCCAACAAGTTAAAGACTCAAGTTACATAAAGACTAAAATTTGAATTGAAAAGCCAGTGTTCCTTCACATTCTTAAACTAGGATCTATGGGAAACTAGTGAATGTAGTACGAAAAAAAAAAAATCCTAAAGAAAGGTCATAACATTTATCAGCATAAAACTTAAGTGTTTATCACAACAAAAATTACAAATTAATGCTTCTAAAAACTAAGGACAATGGAATGATAATAAAAATGAATATAATCATAAAGCAGGACAAAAAAAAAATAACAAAAACAAGCTTCTAATTACACAGAGAAATCAAGGTATAGAGTGTAGCAGGGGCTGACTGTGCTTCTGTGTGCCAGTGCAGCAGCCCCCACAGGCCTTGTGGGTGAGTCACCCTAAGCTGTTGCCATTTGGGGGGCCGCACAGTCACTGAAAACCTTCAGGACCACTCAGGAGCTTCCTTGCTTGAGAGTCAACAGATCCTCCACTTATCTTATCCATTCCATGGCCTAACGGGCGCCTTCGCCCACCTCTGGCAGAGGCACCCTTTTTGGTGGAACCTGATTTTGTAGGTGGGCGGTGGCAGTGGTGGTTTGAAGGGAGGAGCCACCAAAGGGACCAGGGAACATCATTCTAGAGATGGCCCTTGGAGCAAGAAAAATCATGTGTCTCCCTGCACACCAACCCCACATGGAGTCCTGATTCTTTGGAAAAACAAAACCGCTCTTTTCCGTTCCTGAGCACAGGTGACGAGGGCACGTGGCAGGGTTGAGGAAACAGCACTTCACTGGATCACTGAGTGACACCCTCCTCTGTATGGGGATCCCTGCTTTGTTGGGGGGGAGACCCTGTGGACCCTGGGGGGTACAGATACTGTCACTCTCCAGTGTCCCTTCCCATGGGCCAACGACCAGCAGAAAGTTACCGTTCTCTGTCTGTTTGGGGTGCTTCTTCCTGACGTAGGACTCAGAGATCCCGAGGTGTCCAGTTCATCAGCAGAAGACCAGGAGGACAGATCCTACGTAGGAAATAGATTCTTTTGATGACTCCACGTCCCAGAGCCAGATGGCTCTGTAACACACAATGTGCTTCCTATCCCATCCCCATCCATCCCCCATTTAAATCAAGCCATTCATTCCTTGGGAAAAGTAGAATCCGACAACTACAAGAACATCGAGACCTAGATCTTCTAGTGTATTGGGCTTTCCTGGCTGTTTGTCCCTTTTGGAAAATACAGCTACAAGGTCATTCTTACTGTGGCACTTATAGATTTATTATGTCTCAGTGACATGGATATAAGTGAGTCTAAATGCAGGAGGGGAAGCAATCTGCCTTAGAGCTGCAGGTCACTCAGGCCAGAGAGACCAATTCATTTGAGTTAGAAACGAAAGTCTCCCAGGCGCCTTTGAGCATCAGAGAAAAAGTGTCGCTTCCAGCACTGCTGTTGCTTGCAGTAGACTGTTCTCTGACATTCTGAACGGAGGGCACAGTGCTTGTGTGTTCGTACAGTATTTCACAGCGGAATGAAGTTTTACCAGGCACCTCTGCAGCTGCAAATGCACTTCTCCAAACCAATGCCGCTCATGATGCGGCAGACCGAAGGAAAAAATAACACAATACATGCACACAGGACATTTTCTACGAATTAACTACTGTTCGTGTCAGGAGAATTCAACCTTTTAGGCTGAATCATATGCAAATAATTGGCTGTGGTGTATCACGGCTATGGTACAGAAAATACGTGAATTCTTAACTAAACAGGGTAAAATAAAAAGTCACAGTAGTGGTGGTGTGAGGTTAGCAGTGACAATTACAGGAGGTCTCCTGGGTGTGACAGAATCAAAAGCAGTGTATCCTATTATAAAAGTTTATAAGTCCTGCCTAGCTGGTGTGGCTCAGTGGTTGAGCATCAACTTATGAACCAGGAGGTCGCAGTTCGATTCCAGGTCAGTGCACATGCCTGGGTTGCTGGCTCGATCTCCAGTGTGGGGCGTGCAGGAGGCAGCCGATCAGTGATTGTCTCTCATTACTGATGTTTCTATCTCTCTCTCCCTCTCCCTTCCTCTCTGAAATCAATAAAAATAAAACAAAATTAAATATATATATATATATATATATATATATATATATATTTTTTTTTTTTTTTTAAAAAAGACTATAAGTCCCTTTCTTATTTTGAGACCGGACTTGCAGGAGCTGTGACAGTGAGTGGACACTCAAAGACATTCTGAAATGGACAAGGGTGATGCTTCCTTGATGCTCTGTAGGGAAGGCTACACAGTGCTGCCTGCTGAGCGCTTACCTGCTGACTGCTCGACATGTCCAGTAACTTCTCCAGCTCCTTGAGGTGACGACCGACCTCCTTCAAGAGCAGTTTGAGCCGATTTCCAATCACATGGACCTTTTCTTTGGCTTCTAAGCAGTCTGTGCCTTCAGCGTTCACCAGCAGCTGGCAAGACATGTCTTGCAGCGAGGCCACTTTGAGCTGGGATTCCAAGAGCTCCTGCCTTATTTGCTATGTATAGAGTAAGAAACATTTCTCTAAGGATGTCTGATCATTAGGGAAAGTCTCTACAGCGCAGAATGACATCACTTTAACTTACTGGGCACTTATGCCCGAGCCTCGGAATGCTGAGCTCACACAGGAAGGATAGAGCCGCTCATGGCATTTGGGAATCAGGGACCTGTGTTCTAATCTTACCTCTGCCAAAACCATTCCCTAAGACCCCTGAGCCCTTTGGATGTGAATTTTGCTTCTTTGGTTAAATGATGATATTATTTCTTGCCTAACCCACAGTAAGTATTCTTGGGTTCAACTTAGTAAATATAAGTGAAAGTACTTAAAACAGAAAGTATTATGCAAATGAGACATGATAGTCTTTTAAACAGAACAGTAAAACATTACCATAAATGTATCAGACCTCCAGTATGTCTAGATACACTCAGCTATCTGTTCAAGATTTAAAAAAAGATATGTGGTGATTTATCATTTACAACTTAAAGCCTGAGGTTCGAAGCCTAGTGGAAATGCAGTCGCATCACTATTTCCTCTTATATTTCTAAGACCTTTATGGTACTGAATTAGAAGCGACCAATTCTGCTGGTTAGGTTAGTGAGTGTTAAATGGTAAGAAATAACATCTAAAAAATGCAGGAAGCTACAGAATTCAACTCATTTTCTCCTAATGGGATGCAAATCTGCTTCTGTATCATCTGTGAAGTCACTTAAGTACGCTGTACAGTTCTTTGTATGAGAATCTACCCAGAAATTTTGCAAGTTTCCTTCAGAAGTTAGTGCTGAAAAAAGTTTCTCACTCCCTGAGAACTGGTATGCTTCCTTTTTGTCAGATAATGAAAATAAGTGAAGTCATCACGTTTCCCTTTTTCTCTTAACTTTCAGGAAACTTGATGTTAAGGTTAATGCAGAATTTGACGCACTTTCTAGTAATTCCTCTTACAAAGCCCTAATGCTATTTTAATAGTTGTAATGAATGTCCTTTTATTATACACCACCTCATATACTTTTGGGACATGGATGTAACAATAGAGTTTAAATGAAAAATAAGTGTAATTCACCAAAGACCTGCTTTAATAAAAACAAGTTACTTAAGATTAGAACAGCTAAGATTTCTACAATTGAGCCATGGCTTTAGAACCAGATTCTACAGCTAGTCGATGTGCTATTCTATGCACGTGTTTGCTTCACAAAAATTAACTTAGAGACTATAACTTAAAAGGTAAGAAATATAACCATTTATTTTCCTGCAAATGGAAGGGGCACTGCTAAAACAACCAGAGGCTGCGGCATTCACACATCTTACCGTCAGCTGCTTGTGCTGGTCCTGCAGTATTTCTGCACCGAGGTGAGGATCGATAGGAACAATTTCATTTTTCCTCCTGTCGATGTTCTCCAGCATGAGAAGCAAGCCATGACTCATCTCATGGAAATCCTGGGGAAAGTATAGAGCAGGAAATCATCTTGAATAATATAGTTTTCTTTCACACACCGCTTACATTTCTATTCTTTTTTTCTTTTTTACATTTCTATTCTTTACAACTGCTGCCGTTGGCAAAGACACGTTGGCTTTACGATCTTAGACACAACTCCTTTCTGAGCAAGGTGCTTGTGCTGTTGTAATTCTCGGAGCAGGTGATGAGGGCACATCAGAAGACAGTTTCTGAGCTCACATTCTTTCCAAAAGCAACTAATTTATTACTGAAGGGAAGATTCGGACATAAGGAAAATTGGTTCAAAATACAAAATACTTTAGAAATTTCTAGGGCTATTATGTAGTTTGGAAGGAAGCAGCTCTGCTCCCCTCTCATCTCCCTGAATTCAAATCTTCCCATCTTTTTAAGGCCTACATCCAATCCCTGTGTCCTTCATCCATCCATTTGTTCATTCATTTATTTCAGGTATAGTTCATGAGCATCACCGGGGTGAAACACACTGTACTAGGAGGGGCTGCAGGGGTGAAACCACAGCTTGGGTACCTGCTGTCAAGGAGCAGGCTTCACACCCTGAAAGGGCTTCCCTTCGTGTCCAGAATACAACCCAAGCTCCTGGCCAGGACCTACCAGGCCCTGTGTGATCTCATTCCTGATCACCTGCCTGATGGTTCTTGTCACTCCCGCCTCTCTGACTGCATTCTGATCACACTGGCCTCTTTCCTGTCCTTGGAGACACTAAGCCCTTTCCATTTGTTCTATCTCCTTCATGGATCCACCCTCCCAATGTCAGCTCAAAGATGCTTAGAACTTCCCTGAGCTCCCTCCCAAAGAGGCTTTTCTCAAGTCCTCTGATCAACATCTGGAAGCATCTTGGTGAACCATTGAATTGCATTTTTATTGTCTGTTTTCCCCAACAAGAGAGGCTGTGGTGTATCGTGACTGCTTAGTGCAATGCCTGTCAGACAGTGAAACTGGGCCAGTGTGTATTTGTAATGAATATTTGTAATGCTCACTTTGATGTTCAGAAACTGTCTTCCGATGTGCTCAGTAAATGTCTGATGAATGCGTGAATGCCATGAATGAGTAGAAGAAGGGGTGGTGGGGCCGAGATAACTTGTGGGAAGAGTCTCTTGTTAGCTGGACAGAAGGTGGGGTCTGGCTGCTCTGAACTGCTGTTCACGTGTACACATTCTCTACTCAAATAAAAAGTTTGGGCACAACGCGATCGCACTCAGATATTGACTCTGGGGAGCAACCGCATCCCTCTGGTGACCTTGGTAAACCAAGTCACAGACTCGGCACACGTGTGAGTGGGAGCACAGCCTGCCCAAAGCCCCGCGGACCTGACACTGCATCAGCGCGCCCTGGAGCAGGCCCCGCCACTCCTCCAGCAGGGAGCACACCCGGTCCCAGCGCGCGTTCATCTGGGACAGGCGGTCCTGCAGGGCCTGGCTCTCCTCGCCGCCCGTCTGCGTGAACTCGGAGCTGCACAGGTTGATGGAGAGGATGATGGCTTTGCGGTGATCCACGGCTTTCTGCAGCTCCTACAAAGAGGAAGGAGAACAACCAAACAAGGAAAATAACGATAAAAATATTTTAAAAAAATAGTCTAAGGCCTTTGGAAAGGCTTCACTCAAATAAAAAGATCCACGAATACAAACTGGGCCTTGACAGGACGTCCAGATAAGTTACAGTGAGTTCACACCACTGAGAACCGTGCTGCAGTTACAAGAGCTGGACTGGATGTACACTTGACAACATGAATAGATCTCAGTAAAATATGGGGCAGAGTGAAAGAGTCAGAAACAGAATGATATGTGCAACACAACAGTATGTGTGTAATTAAAATACACGCGCTCACACACAAATCTACTTTTTTTTGAATGAATATACAGGAACAAAGAATGCTCATTAAATATTTCAGAATGGTTGCTGTGGGTCTGAGGAATGAGAATTAAAAAACAGTCTGTGCGCGCGCATGTGTGTGTGTGTGTGTGTGTGTGTGTGTTGGGGGGGGCGGGGGGAAGGATACATATATAAAATTAAGAGGCATCTCGCAGGAAGCAACCATGACCCTATGCAATAAAATAAGGAATATGAGTAACTTGACCCCCCGGCATGGGATTTCAATAACAAAATGAAACAAAACCGGGCTCCAACCGTTCTGAGCAGCAGGAAATGCACTTTTTGTCCTAGTGTAACAATCCCATCTCAATAGACCAATGGTACTCAGAGTTCTGTGCATGAGAACAGAATGGGAAACTGGGTGAGAAAGCAGATTCCCGGGCCCTGGCCTCCAGCTGTTCCAACTCCATGGCACAGATAGTGGCTCCCGGGCTGAGGACACTGGCTACGTCACAGGCCACCTTCTGGTGATGGCGAGGAGCGTGAGTTGGGTATTTCATCAGCTGACCAATTTAGTTTGATCACACACACTCACACTCACACACATACACATACACACACACACACACACACACACACACACACACACACACACACCTGTGCCTGGATGCAACTGATTTTACTTTGCGCATTTCCTAAAAACCTAGAACGAAATTCCAAGAACTTGAGAGCATGATTATGTATTAATGGAATAGCGAGGCTGTTTAAACATGCCCAGATCAAGTTAGAGTGAGTGATCCTGCAAATCCCACCCACCCAGGCTACATTTTCTTAGAATTTCTCACTTTTCTGTGGTGTTTCCAACTTGTCTTAATTTTTCAATTTTCAATAGATTCTTAACAAACTGAATATATAGTCAACCACGGAGACAGTATAAGACGGAGGGATATTGTGGAAAGATAGTTGGTGATGCCACAGGTTTATCCTCAGAAAACAGATAGGATTCTGGGGGAGGGGTGCAGGCTGACTGTCAGGGTCTCACCCCTCCACCCTCATCTCACTTAGATCAGACTTGGACCAGCATTTGATCCATCACCTTTATAAGGAATTTGGTTTTAATGCAATGCCACCCTACGTTTTCCCGGAGGGAAACTCAAGGAATTTAAGTACTCTAGAAAAAAAAAATGCTTCTTATGCCCGGCTGGTGTGGCTCAGTGGTTGAGCATCGACCTATGAACCAGGAGGTCACGGTTCGATTCCTTTTCATTACACATGCCCGGCTTGTGGGCTTGATCCCCAGTGTGTGGAGTGCAGGAGGCAGCTGATCAATGATTCTCTCTCATCATTGATATTTCTATCTCTCTCTCCCTCTCCATTCCTCTCTGAAATCAATAAAAATATGTTTTAAAAATAAAAGAAAAAAATGCACGGTATAATCCAGGTGATGCAACCGCATCTCTCATCTGACCCGTCCTCCTTAAATTGATGGGCTGGGCAAGGCTCCTCTCAAAGAAGACGTTTGATCATCTGTGGGGAAGACACAACCACCACCAGAGCAAGCCACAAACACATCACTTCCAGATCCACAGCGTGTGCTGAAACCAGAGGCACACAAAAGCGGCGCGCCTAATCCTCCAGCCCAGGGAGCCTGGGCCCCTCCCTTCTGAGGAACAGCACACCTCGGTGCTCTCCAAGCCGAAAGACAGGACCCAAAGAGCTATCAGAACGGAACTGGGCCCTCACGCCACAGCGCGCTTACAGAGTCTGCAACACCAATGCATTTCAGTAGCCAGGCTGAGGAGGATTTCTAGGATCTGGAGATGGAGTGAAAGGAAGTGATCTTGGGTCCCGCACCCAGACAGGAAATGCCAGAAGTCCTGCTCACCCCAGAACGTCAAATGATTTCATTAGGTCTCCACACCCTCACACACATAAAGTCTTGGAGAAGATTTCTCTCCAGCTTTAGGTAGAGACTTGTGGGACCCTGGGAATATCTCATATTTCGATTCCCTTAAAAGAGGTGAAATAGGTCCTAGGGTACCTGGGTGGTTCAAAATTTTAATCATTTAAAAACACCAATTCATTAAATCATACATGATTATTTATATGGGGGCTATTTCCACAACGTGGTCCATCTTCCTGTCCTTCCAAACCTTCTCTATAAGCTCTGCTTAGGGAAGGGGGGTGAGCAGGAGGGGGGGAGCACAGAAGGTCCCTGTGACCTTCTGCTGACAATTTCCCTGCTGCTGCATCACAACAACACAGCTGGGCTCGTGGCGGCACCTGCTCAGGCCTCCCACGGGTCACTGTCTGGCTGCTCTGAGAAAGGCCAAGGGCAGCTCACCTTGAGCTTTTTGATTTGCAGCTCAATGGACTGGATGTCGGTGCTGAGCTCCAGGCGCCGGAGCCGCTCCAGCTCCTCCTCCGTCGCCCCCAGCCAGGTCCAGATGTTGTTCAGGTCAGAGCCGAACTGCTGCCACTTCTGGAGGTTCTGTTTCATCCGCAGCTCCTTGCTCAGGGCCTGCGCCTGGATGAGCTCCCACCGGTCAATCACACCTGCGAGACAGGATGTGCACACAATGGCAGGCATTCTCCTCCACCTGCTGGGTTTGGGGAAGGCTGGGAGCGTGCACTGGGCTGACTTTAATAGCAACAGAGAGAAAGGAATCCCCCGGCATGTCTGTTTCCGTCAGCTGTAAAGAATAGCATCACGGCTGTTCTTCCGATCTGCATTTTTAATGGTGACAGAGTAAAAAAACAAATAAAAAGAGCTACATGGGGTTTAACACTGCCAAGAGCTTTATGAAGTAATGAGCACCAGTGTGACCCAATTCAATTCTTGACATCCCTCTGCAAGAGAGCTCTGAGAGTATACATGTAAAATGCCTGACTAGCCCGGTCAGCTGGCTCAGTGGTTGAGCATTGACCTATGGGCCAGAAGATCACATTTTGATTCCCAGTCAGGGCACAAGCCCGGGTTGTGGGCTCGATTCCTAATAGGGGGCCTGCAGGAGGCAGACCATCAATGATTCTCTCTCATCATTGATGTTTCTCTTTCTCTCTCTCCCTCTCCCTTTCTCTCTGAAATCAATAAAAAAAAATTGCGGGAAGCTATCCATTGTCAAACACTATCATGAAAGTGCAACAGGGAACTCGGAAGGCTGATGAACCTTGAGCTTTTGCAAGGGCTAAAGCTATGCACCAATTGTTCTGTCGAGATCATGGTGACTCAAAGCAATTTCCTGACCTAATAGTCTCAAAGTAAATCTTTACTAATATTTACTAACTTTTGAGATAGTCTGTCTGCTACTGGATTGCCATGCCTAACTGAGGGGAAGATGTGTATCTAAAAATTGAATAAAAACTAACAGGTCCAGGGCTTCAGAGAGCTTCTCCACTACAGGGAAGTTTCCACCTGGTTCCCCCATGATTTCTAAATTCATATTTCTTGTCTAGTGTTTTCATTTGTGCATCGTCCCCTTCTTCAGATCCAGAACCCTAGCCATGCTGGTTGGGGCATCACAAAAATATTTAAAATATAAAATAAAAAGTGCCTGACTAGTGACAGTAGGGACAGTGCACTGAAGTGGAGGGGACACGGATGCATTTCACCTCCCTCTCTGCCACAGGAGGTCACTGGGACACGGAGACAAGCTCTCAGGATGGAAATGTGTAGACGGAGGTAAGCGACACTTGTGTGCAACAACGTGCTTCCGAGCCTTCCACGCCCCTCCCTTGCCCTGAGCGGCACTCACTCACCGGCCGTCTGGGCTTCAGTGCTGTTCAGGTTCACGAAGCCGGGGAAGTTCTCCTCTTCCTCCTTCAGCTGGTGCTCCAGCCTCCTCACCGAGTCGATGCTGCCGCTGCACTCCGCCAGCAGTTTCATCTGTTTGGACCCAGAAAATAGGCCCCGTCACCAGGCTCTCACTTTCCCACGAGTGCAAGGGCTTCTGGGGAAATGTCTTTGAGGTTCCTCAGAAGGCACAGCGGCTGTGCCACTCTGCTAAACAAGGCCAAGTTCAAAAGCATGCTTCTTAAACATGTGACACCTCCATGCACACATAAAGCAAGGCTCAAAGATATACTTTGCATATGTGCTTTTGCATGGGAAGTCCTCAAAACATTTTTGAAATTAAGTTTATAAATCCAGACAGACTAGGCCCTGCTCGGGTAGCTCAGCTGATTGGAGCGTTGTCTCGATACGCCAAGGTTGTGGGTTTGACTCTCTGTAAGGGCACATACAGGAAGCAGCCAGTGAATGCTTATAGAAGTGGAACGGCAGACACATGTTTCTCTTTCCTTTCCTCCCTTGCTTCTTCCCTCCCTGCTCTCTCTTTAAAAATCAATAAATTAAAAAAAAATAACAAAGACAGATTAAACCCATCTTGGGTTTAAACTCGGAGCCCTTCGCTGGTATTACATTACATAATTTCTGGCAAGTTGCTCCCTCTTTCTTAAACTGAAAAGTGGAAACAACAATATTACCACAAATCTCAAAGGGACATTTTTTTGCATTAGGTAATTAAAATACTTAAAAGCATAAAGCAAGATTAAAACCAGCTGCTTCATGAGAAACTGGAACCATTGCTTTATAGGTATTAAGGGAATAAAGTCTAATATCAAAGGAGAAGCTCCCAACTCCATGCTTAGTAGCATGGCATTCGAAGATTAAAGGAACACGTCATTTCAAGGCATGCCTGCTCTACTGACCATAAAGTCACCTTTTAAAGCCTGTAACGAATCACATTGCTATTACGTGACTTTGATTGCTTTTGACTGAGGTTGACTATGATCTCAGTGATGTCAGCACTGACCTCAGGGAACTATATTATATTTTGCAAAAAGAGGTTTCACTCTAATAGAAGTCGGTGTAATAGGCCAGATTGGACAGGAAGTGAACTCATGATTGGCCACTCTTCTGTAATTGTGGGGATGTGAACATCAGCATATACAACTAGAATGGTTCTCTTCTCTGATTTCAAAGAGCAGTCTGTGTGACTTTGGAAAATTACCATTTCTTTCCTGCCCTAGCCAGTTTTGCTCAGTGGATAGAGCATCAGCCCACAGATTGAAGGGTTTGATTCAGGTCAAAGGCATATACCTCAGTTGCAGGCTCGATCCCTGGCCTTGGTCGGGAAGCAACCAATCATTGTGTCTTTCTCACATCAGTTGTTTCTCTCTGTCTCTCCCCCTCCCTTCCACTCTGTCTAAAAATCAATGGAAAAAATATCCTCGGGTGAGGATTAACAACAACAAAAAATATTTCTTTCCTTTTACTCGGCAGTCTCTGGGGTGGGAAAAGAAGGTATGAAGCATGGATGAGATTTCCTTTCAGACTCTCTTGCTTGAATATGTGTAGAAAAACAGGTAGTTCTCTGGGAAAAATAATTTGGTCAGTAACTTGAACAGAGCAAATAAAGTCATTATATACTTTCCTAAGAGCTTTAAAAAAAAAGGAGCAGTAATATATACACTCTCTTGCTATCCTTTCCACAATTCCTGGTTAGAATTGTTTTCTCCAGAATGAACATACTAAAAACAGAAGACAAACACATTCCCAAGGCCATCCAGTGAATCAATAAGCCCAAGAAAAGAACTTAAAAAATTCCTTGTTAGTAATCTATTAGCTAAAATCTGTTGCTCCAAGGATCACCATGGTCCAAACACGATTAGCTGAATTTGGAAAAATGCCTAATCACTTTCGGGAGCCAAAGCATTCTGTTACTTTCAATTAAACGGATCTCATGAATTTCTCCGTGTAAAGGAACAGGCTGGCCGTTGCAGTAGGCTAGTGGGCCTGCCATGGTCCAGCTAGACGCAACAGGTAACCTGCTGCTAACAGGGCTTTGTTTTGCACACCCACGCTTGAGTTCAAGGGCAGCGTGGTGTTTGGAGAGCTCATAAAGCCTTCGTGCCCCAGACAAATTGTCCTCTGTCACACAACTGTGACTTCCAGGTACCTGTCCGCAGCCAGGAGGTCAGGATACTCACGTAGCCGCGGTAGCTGGCATCCAGCTCTGGTCCTGTGGGAGTTTTGCTGCGGATGATATCTTCTGTTTCCTGCATCCGAAGGCGGCTGTCGTCCAAGGCTTTGCCCAGTTGTCGGATCTGTGACTCTAAGGCACTGGGATCCCCTGCAGGGTCAACCATAAGAGTTTTTACAAGCTTTGCAAGCGTGACCTTCAAGAAGTTTAAGAAATTATTGCAGTTAAAGCTGTATAGACACAGCATGGGTGAGGGCAATTATAAGGCAAGTTTAGTACTGACGTGCTGGTGAGCTAGGGGTTTAAAGGACCAGACTGATGAAAGTGCTTCACTAAGAGTCCGAGCTGCCTGGGTCCTGCAAAGGGCTCTGCAGTGGGTTCTATCAGCCCCTGCGCCTGCCCCTTTCACAGTGGATCCCCTGAAAATCTGCACACTGATCTGGGGAAGGCCTTTCTAAAAACCTCGTCTGCTCCCCAATAACTGCAAGGCAGCTACTTGTCATGCTCCGTCTGCAGTCACTTCTGAAGCAGAAGACGACACGGCCTCTCATTTTCCTTTCTGTATCTCAGCAGAAGACAGTGCCCCTCACGTGCCAGGTGGCCGCGTCATTCACTTAAGGCAGGACTTCAAGTTAGCCAAGAAAAGACTCGCTCAAGATAGGTACGTATGGAAACAGCAAAGGAGCAATGACTTGCTTTTGTTTAAAACTTGAATCAAAAGCAGGAGAAAGCTAAGACTTTAGCATTTCCCTCTCGGCTTGCTCTTCCTCACAGCCTAGAACTCCCGGCTCAGTCTCCTTGCAGAGATGCAATACCTCTTAGCAAAATTATTTGCATGCATGTGGGCATGCATGTGTGTGTGCACGCGGCGGTGTGCTTGCATGTGAGTATTGCAGTCTTTAACTGGAACAAGAACATGGATTATCAGAGTGAAGCCAGCACAGGGTGAAAGCAGAACAGATATCAGTAAGCCTTCTGACTTTTTGTTTAAAGGTCTTCTAACTACACCTGGAAGAGGTCTTGCTGGGAACCAGGCTGTCATCATCTCAGCAATGGTACTTTGCTTCCTGTCCTTCTGTTTTTAAAAATTTAAGTGTGAACTAATAACCCAGCTATTCATTACCACATCACTGTGTTCCAACCCTATACTCCACCCTCCTCCAAATTACTGACCCTGAACTACATCCAGTTTGTCTAGTGCTGTGGTTGGCAAACTGCGGCTCGCGAGCCACATGCGGCTCTTTGGCCTCTTGAGTGTGGCTCTTCCACAAAATACCGACTTCTGTGCATGGGCCACGAAGTTTCAATTGCACTGTATGTGTGCGCCCACACGGGGTATTTTGTGGTATTTTGTAAAGAGCCACACTCAAGGGGCCAAAGAGCTGCATGTGGCTCGCAAGCCGCAGTTTGCCACCCACTGGTATAGTGCATTGTTAAGCAAAACTGGTTTCATGTTTCTTTCTTTCATTTTTCTTGTTCCAGGAATCCTTCTGTCCTGAAAGAAAAATCTACGTCTTAAGGCACTGTGGAATACAACTTTCATTTCAAAGTATTTATAGGTGGTCAGACTTACTAAATAACATTGACACAGAGCTGAACATCTGGTCTCAGTCCTTGTCTAATGTGTGACCCCTGAGATCGGGAGGATGAGCGGCAGCCCAAGGTCACCCATGCAGGCTGGTGGTTCAACCAGAGCCTGAGCCCTGACCCTCCAGTCAGAGGGAGGTGGGCGACCCATCAAAGCCACAAAGTCAGGGCTGCTACAACCCCACAGGGCGCCGGGCACACATGCTGAAGGCCAGGGCTTCCGTCCCCTGTTCTCTGTTCCTGATGGGCATTGCAGGTGTGCACCTCACGAGGCTGATCACCACTGAGCAGGCGAGAAGTTACTGCACTTGGCTATTCAGATCTTACTCTTGGTGTTGCTTAACCTCGTTTGTTTTTGTTCTCGTGGTACAGCAGTCAGAAGAGAAGATTCTGCCTTAACATGCTTGTGCCACAGAGCCGAGAGAGGGACAGGCAGTGCTGAGAGGGGCCTGTGACAGGTGAGGGCGGGAGGCTGCCTTGGCTGGGCGTGCCTACCAGAAGTATTTCTGATGGCACTTTCTGTGAGTTTTACATAGGCCTCGGGGCTTTCGGGGATCATGACATCTGCGAAAAGAGCACAGTCTAAGTTGACAGGTAAGTTCTGGAAACATCGATTCCCTTGTGGCAGGAAAACAACTTTCCTGGGGAAAAAAGGAAGTTAGTTCTGTAGACAGATAGCTCCTGGACACGTTTTCTTGAAGTGAATCCTAGTGAGGGCTCTCACTCGCTGGTTGAGAGTGTTTTATGAGACAGGCACTGTGTCCAGCAGTCATGTAACCTCACAGCAACCCTACAGTGAATGGGAGAGTCATTCCCATTTTATGGATGAGAAAATTGATGCCCAGAGGAATTAAGTTACTTATCAAAGTCTCAAAAGCTACTAAAGAAATTTCAACCCAGAGACTCAGATTCCAGAACAGTGCTGAAAGAGGCCAATGGACATAACGTGAACAGCACGTGTAATTTCTAACAGCCAGGTTCAAAAAGTAGTAAGAAATAGATGAAAATAACGTTAATACTTTATTTTACTAAATCAATACATCTAAATTATAGCATGGAATCAACATGTTCATGTTTAATATTCTTTCTTTGTGTAAGCCTTTGAACTTCATGTATTCATGGAAGTGTGGCTGACACAGCAAAGCTCAACAGCGGTCACATTTCAGTGTTCAACCATCAGCGCTCCAGTGGCTACATACTGAACAGCGCTGCTTTCCATGCCAAATGCCTAACTATTAGACGATACCATAAAGACAAAACAGAAATGAGAGAAATCACATCTTTCACTAAGGTACTCAAGCCAGAAAATCGCCTCAATCCCAATTCTGTCAGCCATCAGTTATGGAGGAAACTGCTTATGATTTGTCACATCTCTTCCCTTCTCTCTATTTCCCAGTGCTGCTCTTTTAGTTCAGGCCACCATCCCATCTCTGTCCTGGATTAGAAAACGTTTCCATTTGGATTCTCTTCCTCCCAATGCACTTCCCTCCATCTAGTACTTTCAAGACAGGTTCTTTGAAAATATGCATCTGATCACATTGCTTCCCTCCTTAGGCCCCTGCTGTGGCTCCCTATTACCTTCTGGATAAAAGCCAAACACCTTTCCATGTGAATAGGCTACGTCATGACCAGGTCCTGGTTGGCCTTTTCACCTCCTTTGTCCACTCTATGCTTACCAATCTACAGCCTTGTCACTGTGAACAAACCTCAGTGCCCAGCAGTACTGCGGCTACTCAGAAAGCTGGGCTGGGTGCCCTCTGCTTTCCTCCTCTGAACATTGCTGCATCCACCTTACCAACTTCTCCTCATCCTTCCGGGCTCAGCTCAAGGTCCCTTCCCTAAAGCCATTCCTCAAAGCTCCGGGTTAGGTGTCCCCTGGTTGTGCTTCTGTACCTGCCCATGCACGTTAGATCCTGGTGCCAAACACGTCCTACTTATTGTCCGTGTTCCACACTTGAGTGTAAGAAAAGGAACTGGGTGTTCCCAGGGTTTAGCAAAGCACTTGCCACATTGTAAGACCCTAGGTATATGTGGGATAAATCAATGGCCATGCCAACTTTTGTATTTGATGGTCACACGGATATCCAATGTTCCCTTATGTACACTTTCCCTTCATGGGAGAAGGAAGAAGATGGGTCTGCTGAGTTACATGTTTCCAGTACAATATCCACTCCCTTTTACTTCCTTTTAAGCTTGTATATAGGAAGCACTTTTTCCTACCTGATAAGCCAACAGCTCCCCTGAGGTAGAAATCTTTGTCTTCCTGATCCTCTTCATCCTCAGAGGGCAGAGTTCTGGACACGGCAGACTCCAGGTCACGACTGAGGTCATAGTCATGGTCCCACTCCAGGGGGATGGAGTCCACACTGGCAGGGGTGTCTCGTCCTGACCGCTCGCTCCGGAGGGGCTGGGCGAGGGAGAGGGAGGGGTTGGAGGAAGGCTGGGGGGACAGCACGCTGTCCGCGGAGGTGTCATGCCAGCGGAGGTCTGAGAGAGCTGCCGAGTCCTCCAGCTCCAGCTCCCGGTCAGAGAGGTCGTGCTCATCGTCTGGGAGCTAGAAAGGCAGTCAAGCCAACTCCGTTACCGCAGCAACCAGGGGATCCCTCCTCACGTCTTGTCCTGCCTCTCACCAAAGCTCAGAGTTCACGCTTGTCGGGGTCACATTCCTACCTCAGTGGGGATACTTTTAAACTTCCTATCACCAAATAACAAGAATCTTGTGCTCACTTTTAAAAATGTCTTATAAATTAATCTAACAAAGCCTCAGTTTAATCAGCACTAAAATGGAAATAATATTAAAAGCTACTGCCCAGCTGGTGTGGCTCAGTGGATTGAGTGTCATCCCATGGACCAAGAGATCCTAGGTTTGATTCCCAGTCAGGGCACATGCCCAGAATGCGGGCTCAATCCCCAGTAGGGGGCGTGCAGGAGGCAGCTGATCAATGTTTCTCTCTCATTGATGTTTCTACCTCTCTCTCCCTCTCCCTCTCTATCTAAAAATCAATAAAAATGTATTTTAAAACAAACAAAAACTACTTCAAAGAATCAGTGTAAGATTAAATAAGATAATGTAAATAAAGGCAAGTTAGTACTATTCATACAACACACCACAAACATAGTGGCACATGTCAGAAACAGAAGGAAATCACTGTTAAAATTGTAGCTGGTCCATTTTAAACTGATATCCCAGGCACAAAATATAGTTAACACAGAAGGTTCCGAATATTCTGGTAATAGCATCTCGACACTGAGATGTGATTATGGCAGCAATTAGGGGAATGGAAGAGAAAAAAATTCCACAAAACAACCTCATCAATAGAGCAACTATTTACATTGTTCACGTTCATCTCCTTTCTTCTAGAAGCTTATTTATCTTCCATAGATGATATGTGCCAAGTACTCTTCTAAGCTATCTATCTATCTAGCATCTATTTATCAATCATCTAGCCATCCTCATTTCATGCCCCAAACAATCCTTTCTACACGGTAGGTACTGTTATTAAACTAGTTTCACAGTTGAGGAAACTGAGGCAAGATACGTGAAGTAAGTTGCCGAAGGTTACGCAGCCAACACGTCAGAGCTGAAACTGGAACCCAGGCATTCTGGATCCAGTGCCTGGGCCCTTAGCCACAGTACAACACTACCGAACCCCACATCACGATTTCTCTTTAGATTTGACGACAGTGAAGACTGGTGTTACACACAGGCAGGCGGATCAGCTTCTTGTGGTATCTCTCCACGCGCCCGAAGACCTCCTGGCAGTAGCGCCGCAGCTCGTCCAGCTCCTCCTCGATGATCGCCGCGTCCAAGGGCTCGCTCTTCTCAATCAGCTGCTCTCCTTGGGCAATGATCTGCTCGATCTTGTTGTGGTTCAGTGAAATTTCCTGCTGGAAGGCCTAGGGAGCAACGCCCCACGTGATTGTCATTGCTCACATTGACATGGAATAATAAGCTACGTCTTTAGAAAAACCACGTGGGGAATACTGAACTTACCCTATACAATGACAAGCCACGAGGCTTTTACTTTATAAAGTAAAACATAAACATTTTAAGTCAGAACATGAGTTGGAAATGGAATCACTGAAATTCCATGACCAGAAGCGTGCCTTTGGCTACTCCAATCTACTACCATGGACAGGGTGGGCAGAAAATCAGAGGAGAAAACATTCAAACCCACCATGAATCCATAGCACTGGTTATTCCTGATGACAATCAACTGTAACCATTACAGTGCCAATGAAAGAAATATAGCACTTTAAAGAAATATATTGAATATTTTAATTTTAGATTTCTTGATCGTACATCAGACATGACTAAGAGAAACCAAGCCAATGACAATATCACCAATTCTACTCAGATGATTTTTGCTGTTTTGGGACATAAGCGGGAAAGATGAAAATGATTTGAAAAATAAGTAATTCTGGAGAATCATTTAGACTCACTTTACATGGTTCAGAAGAGTTAAGCTACTTGGTATAAGTGTCAGGGGATACATTTTAATTCACAAGAATAAACTCTGGAATAGTCAAAACTGTCCAATAATGAAGACTGCAAGGGGAGAATAGAGGGCCATAATGAGTTCTATGTCCCTGCCAGACTCCAAAAAGAAAAGCTCAATTACCACTTGGAGTAAATGCCCTGCCAAAGGTTTTAAATATTGATTTGCCTGTGAGACAACTTGGGAAAGTCAGGGTGGGAGGGATGGAAAGAGGGGTTGGGCAAAATACCAGGCTTAACTATTTTATGATTTTTTTTCATCCTAATATATGTTTAAGAGCAACTTTCTGTTTTATAATAATAACCTAAGGTTATAGCCATCATGATTTTATGTAGTTGTTAAATCTGTTTAACTATCTTGGGAAGAAAATTTCATAAGATGCCTTGCAAATTATTCAAATTGTTAAATACATTTCCACTTAGAGAATCCTTTTATCTAATGTAGTGGATGTCCCTTCTGTTTAAAATTTTAACTAGCCATTGTCGTTGAATTATATAGTGAAGTATGTAAAATATGTTTAAAATTAACTTGGCATCTATGAGTGTAGAATATGTGGAATGAAATTCTAATATGAGAAAGTTGTAATTCTCTGAAACATAGAGGTCAAATAAACTATTTGAAGGTGCCAGAAACAAACCAGGAAAACACAAAAACACACACACACACACAAAACTAATCAGGAAAAAAGATTCCCAACACTGTGGCTATCAAGTTAATAAATAAAAGTAATATGTTAATGGTAGGTATCTCTGGGTAGTGCTCTATATTTCATTTTTAATATCCTTTTCATTCAAAAAAATTTTTTTTCAATCAATAAGAACTAATTTCTTGGTCTTATAGAAGATCTTATGAATTTGACCCCAAAGGCAAGTGGAGTAAAGGCAAAAATAAATGAATGGGACTATATCAAACTGAAAAGCTTTTGGACAGCAAAACAAACCAAGAACAAAACAAAAAAGCAATCAACTGAATAGAAGATATTTACAAACAACAGCTCTGACAAGGCGCTAATATCCAAAATATATAAAGAACTCATACAACCCAATACCAAGCAAACACACAATCCAATTAAAAAATGCACAGAGGACTTGAACAGACACTTCTCCCAAGAGGACATATAAATGACTAATAGATGTATGAAAAGATGCTCAACTTCACTAGCCATTAGGAAAATGCATATCAAAAATACAATGAGATACCACCTCACACATGTTACAATGGCTATTTTCAACAAGACAAGTAAACGTAAGCTTTGGACAGGCTGTGGAGAAAAAGGAACCCTCATTCACTGCTGGTGGGGATGTAAGCTGGTACAACCACTATAGAAAACAGTATGGAGGTTCCTCAAAAAATTATGAACAGAGTTACCATATGACCCAGCAACCCCACTTCTGGGTATCTACCAGAAACATTTATTCACAAAGATATATGCATCCCTTTGTTCACTGCAGAATTATTTATGGTGGCCAAATCATAGAAATAACCAGAGTGCCCTTCGATAGATGAATGGATAAAAAGGATGCGGTGCATATACACAATACAATACTACTCAGCCATAAGAAAAGATGAAATACTACCATTTGCAACAACATGGATGAGCCTTGAGAGTATCATGCTAAGTGAAATAAGTCAGACAGAAAAAGTCAAGAAACATATGCTTTCACTCATAGGTGGGATATAAAAGTGAAAGCAACAAATGAACAAACAAGAGAAACAAACACACAAAAACTCACACAGACAACAGTATGGTGGTTACCACAGGGAAGAGGGGTGGGGTAAAGGGTAAAGAGGGTCAAATATATGTTGATAAAAAATGATGTGACTTTGGATGTTGGGCAACATGAAGATCACGTATCCTAGAAATGTACACTTAAAACCTCTATAATCTTATTAACCAATGTCACCCCCAAAAATTAAAAAAAAAGAAAACTGAAAAAAGTTACTATTTTTTTCACCAAAGGATCTGCACATCTCTTCCCCTTCAGCCTAACCCATGTGGCTCAATGGTTGAGCATTGACCTATGAACCAGCTATCACATGCCCGGGTTGCAGGCTCAATCCCCAATGTGGGGTGTGCAGGAGGCAGCTGATCAGTGATTCTCTCTCATCATTGATATTTCTCTCTCTCCCCCCCTCTCCCTTCCTCTCTGAAATCAATAAAAATATATTTTAAAACGATCTTCCCCTTCGACTTTCTTCACACTGATAAGCTGAAGAATCACTAATCTATTACCTTGAGCTGCTTTATTTTAGCGTGAACATCACACTCGGAAAAATGCTCAATATTAGTGAGCTGTAAATCCATCTCCGTCAGCCACACCAGAATGCTGTCCCGTGCCGTCTCAAACTCCTCACGCTGGCCAATGAAATGCTGGAGGTGAAGAGAAGATCATAAAAATTACAAAGCCCGCATATTGAGACGGTACCGCCAATTCCAATGGTCTTCCGGAAAGTCATTTTCTTAATGAGCAATGAGAACCTGCATCCTTTAACATATAAATTAACCCTAGATCCCCCTCTTGCCATCCCTATCTTACAGAATCACAGTGCTTATGTCTTAATACTGGGTTCGAATGGTCCGACCCTGTCCTCCCGGCCCCTGAGCTACGGAGGAGGCAGAATAAAGACCTTGAGTCTGCGCAAGATGGAGCTGACGCGCTTCTGCAGGTTGTCCCATCGCTGGTTGCCTTCGTGGACCATCTGCTTTAGGCTGCAGGCGGAGTCGGTGCGGTTCTCTCTGGCCAGGCGGCGGTACTGCTTGTTGATCAGCTCCAGCTGGGTCAGGCTCTCGTGCACCTGCCGCTGGAAAGCCTAGGACCACAGAGAAGCACTCAGTGAGGGAGGCCCACCGGGGGCTCTCGGCCAGGGTGTCAGGGCTTCAGGCTGCAGGGTGAGGGGGAGACGGAAGGCACCCTGTCATGGACAGGCACAGGCCAGTCTCTAATGAGTGTGGACATCCCCTTCTTAAAGGGAAATAATGTAATCAGCGTGGGGAGAGGGGGTGGAGCATACAAAAATGTGCACGGAAATGGTTACTAATAAATATATATGTATATATACAAATACACAGACATATATCCCATATATACTGCACACTTCTACATATGGAATTTACACATATATGTATACAATATAGCGTTTAAGATAATTAACAGCTAGAACAAAATTTTCCCGTAAAACAAACTTATTACATAAATATTTATGTATGCTGAAATGAGTTTGAAATGTTCACAATTCCTGATGTGAATACTGAGAAAAGGTATCTTCAAAAGAACTTTCTCTTTATTTGTAAAATATGTAATTTCTTAAAAATCCAGAAATCGCCTCAATTCTGGTGTCCATTAAAAAAATAAAACTACCTTTTGCAGAATGCCCTTTAAGTGCAGGCTATTATGAACTCTTAAGATAAACAGCTTAGTAAAATACAGGTAATTTTACATTGAAAAAAGTTTGGACCATGCTCTATTTCTTTTTTATTGCTTCAGTTTTTATAAAACATTTAGAAGTGATGTAGCATCTTACCCGGTACTGTTTTATTTAATTTTTTTTTATAGAGAGAGGAAGGAGGGGAGAGAGGGAGGGAGGGAGGGGGAGGGAGGGAGGGAGAGAGAGAGAGAGAGAGAGAGAAGAGAAGAGAGAGAGAAACAATGATTGGTTGCCTCCCTTGTGCCACACGGGCCAGTGCTATTTATGTTTACAGTTCAGAGTTTCTTAAGGTAAATATACCCTTTATTCTTTCCCTCTGCAATCTAGCATAGCCCTAGAAAGAATCATTTGACCAAAATAAAATTAAGCTTTTTTTTTTCAAACTCATGTGTATGACTTACAACTGATTTTCATCTTGGCCTTAGACAGAAAATTGTACAATTAGTTGGACTGTCCTCATCTCAGTCCCAGTGTTTGGCTTCCTTTGGACCCTCAGGCTATTTATATCTGCCACATCTCTGCTCTGGAATGGCTTTCCTTCTGAGAGGTGCTTTAAGAGCCTTCATCCTAGTAAATCAATTATTCTTTTCTATCAACGTTTAAATTATTACCTCGGAGAAGGAGGTGGTAAGAAAAGTTCAGCTTTTGCCATTACTAGAAGTCACTGAAGTGTTGGCAGGCACCGTGGGTGGGTACCTCAGCACCCCCAGATCTGTCCCAAATATTCGTGCCAAAATTTAATTTTCGTGATTTATTTTTGTCTTGTAAGAAAATTAAATATAAGATGAATGATAAAATCATTCATTGCAGGAGTTAACGATATGACTAACGCTTGCTGTAAAATCTGAGAGTCTAAAATAGCATCCAAAAGTATCTTACATAATCTTCTTTGTAGTATAAGCCAATTATAGAAGTCTTAACCTTCCCGGAGCTGAGCGTGCTAAGATGCAAACAGGAATACTTCACTAACATTGGTTCACCCAGGATGACCTGCATCTACTGTTGGGCGACTGTGGCTTTTTACCAAAGGTTTTCTAAGGAAGAACCTTTTAGATAGGAAACATTTTCCCCTGGAATTTAGTGATATAGTTACATTCAAATCCATATTCAGATGTCGGAAGAACACTTATTTATTTCACGCAGTATTTAAACATTCTTATAAGTTCATATACCTGCCCATCCCTCTCAGATTTTAAACCTCACTAGACCAACAAAAAAAACGTCATAATTATGATCACAGGCCTCAGTAAATATTGTAAGGTAAAAATGAATGCATCTGGCCCTAGCCAGCTTGGCTCAGTGGATACATTGTCGGCCTACAGACTGAAAGGTCCTGGGTGTGATTCAGGTCAAGGGCACATGCCTGGGTTGTGGGCTCGATCCCCAGTAGGGGGCGCGCAGGAGGCAGCTGATCCATGATTCTCTCTCATCATTGATTTTCTATCTCTCTTTCCCTCTCCCTCCCTCTCTGAAAATCAATAAAAATATATAAAAAAATAATAAATAAAGAACCAATGGGAGTTACTTTTAAAATAAATTAAAAAATGAATGCAGCTGAATTGGGTTTGATTTTTATTCTGACTTTTAAACATCTTGGGGAGCTTTGGGCAGAATAAATAACGGAGAATAATTTTTGTAAGACACATGCATCAGAACCATTTGCTGTCGGTATCGATGAGTACACACGTCTGCCTATTTGGGAAATGACAGGAGAAGAAACTTCAAATTGAAAAAAGGTTGACTTCATGCTATGCCGGCCAAGAAGGTTTTCTCCTATCACAGTGATGGGGCAGACTCAGGATTGTGGGGAATGGGAGTCAGTTATTGAAGGATTCCTGCCTTTGTGAGTGTGATTAGGCTGGCTATTTTTGTCTCCACAAAATTGAAAAGTCTCCGTGACTCAAGAATGGCACTGCTCTTCACTTATAATTAGAAGTGGCTCGTGATTAAAATGTTTTATTCAATCTGGAGCCAACTCCATTTTATTACTGATATATATATATATATATATATCATGCTCCAATTAGGTAAAAATAAAAGAAGAAAATATATTTGGAAGATAGATTTTTATAGAATGGAAAACCATCATATTTTAATCTTAAATAGTTGATTGTGAAGAATAGGAACTAAAAAGAATGCCAAGATCTTGTGGAGAGGGGTGTGTGTGTGGCAGCGGGGGCGGGGGGGGGGAGGAATCCTGATATTTGTTTTCTAATAAAATTCCTCTTCATTACTTTATTTTGTGCTGTATTTGTAATTCTTTTACTTAATTATTTATTTTTGCATTTGCAATTCTTTTATTTATTTATATTTATTTTTGTATTTGTAATTCTTGATCATCTTAAAATAAAAGTCTTGGACCCCACTTCTTGCCTGTTTATGAGATGGTAATAAAGATGGTCACAGCCTTATCCCCCAGCTGTTTGAAGAAAAGAATGTGCGGGTGAACATGAGTTTCTGTCCTGGGACACCCGCTACCAGCTGGGGACTGCCACAGCAACAGCAGGACGAGAGATTGGGAATGATAGCTCACCTCGAATTTCTTCAGTTCTTCCTTGGCAACTGTATAGAGCACCCCGGAAGAGCTGGGGAAGGCGGCTGTCCTTTCGGAAGTCTTGAGCCAATCTTCAAAACGCGAATAGTCATCCAGAAACTTCTGCCACAACTGCCATGTCTCTTCAATTCTGAGACAGAACACGAAAGAACAGAGTCTGACTGTTTGGGACCGTGCGTGCTCCAGAACCTGCCACGGGATTAAGACCAAACACGCAGCTGCGGTGCCAGACAATCGCTGTGCTGGGGCCAGCTCTGACCGAGTGCAAAGGGGACAACTGCTGGAGCTGACACAATGCAGCTGTTTTGTGGGTTTCTTTTTAAACACATCCTGCGGCTCTGGATGTGGAATTAGTCACATCGGTTGTTACATGCACATGATGTGAACTGTTCGGAAAAGTGCAAGAAAGTGTGGAAGCGCAAGGCCACGTTTGCAGGGCACACATGCGTGCCAAGGCTTTGCTGAAACAAAACAAGGTTTGAAAACCCACTGAAGTCCAACATCAAACTCACCCCCATCAAAATCAGTCGAGGACAGCAAGACAAAGAGTGAGCTTTCCAGAGTTCCCCAGAGAGCATAGAGATTACGGGCCTTAAATCACTACCTTAATTTTCTAACACAGCACTGTCTTTTCCGGCCTTGAATTTCAAAGGGCTTTAAGATAAGCCCTTGGCTTTATCATTTAATTTTTAACAACAGAATGGTATTGTTCAACCACCAATTCTGTAACATACTTATTCAGCAAAGGCGTATTTCTCTGAATGATATTTAAACGGTTAGGTCAGGCCTCATTTGGCTTGTTATATTTGCATGTTACCTTTCTATCTGCTTGTTTTCCCAGCTAAATGTGGACAACGACGCATTCGGAAAACCCAGGCTATTTCTGGACTTTGCAACCGAAAGGAAATAGTGACCAATGGCTACTCTGGGTAAGTTTTTTTTTCTTTTGGTCCTTCCTCTTTCCCAGCGGTTTGAACATCCCAGCTTACTTGAGCCTTCTTTCCATGGACATGGCACAGATATTTCTCCATCGCCGGTCCAGATTCCGCGTGGCCTGCTGGATGGAGTCACACTCGGCGTCGGTGGCACACGCGTCACAGTCATGCAGCAGGACCTCACACAGGTTGAGGACGGAAGCCACGCCCGTGCTGTGCTTCTCTATGTCTCTCTGAAGGTCCTGTGGGGAATGAGACACGCTTTATTGCAATCCTGGTATACACACGGGAGAAACTGACTGACAAATGGTTAGGCCCAATGTTGACAAATATTTCATTTCCTTCAATCCATGAGACTTCAACTTCATTTATAAAATATGGCAAGCTCAAAAGCATGAGTAAATGAATCTAGAAATATGTCAGCTATGTGAGCAATGCCAAAATAGAAACTAAACAAATGAAATAGACTACATTAGCTATATCAAGAATAAAATGAGCTTCCTTAGGGATTAAAAAAAATGAATCTAGACAATAGTGTGGTGAAGGCCTAGGAGGGGCAGGTGCGAGATGGAGGGGATCAATGGGGAAAAAAGGCGGGGACATCTGTAATACTTTCAACAATAAAGATAAAGTAAAAAAATATAGATCTTGTCCCAGATTCAACTTCACAGATATATCACTTCTATTCCCATGGATAGATTGATCAATCAATTGGTCAAAATAATATATGTGTTCCTGTTAACAGCTGGCACTCAAGATCTGGGATTTGATCTCTACAGATATGTTAATTCTACCATTGTTAAGAGGTACTGTGGGTTTAAGGGACTGAGGTTGTCTACTCTGTATGATGACATCATCATTATCATCAGCAGCTTCATCAGCAGCTTCCGCAGTGAGCAATTTTATTTTTATTTATTTATTTACCTATTTATTTTTTTCTCAGTGAGCAATTTTAAATGAAGGACATAGATATGATGGTAAAGAAGGCATTGAACTTTGTGAAATCTTTATATTAACTGCAAAGTATATCAGCACAAAATATACATTATTTTTTCTATTGAGCTTTTAACTCAATGTACTCAAAGTATTCCATCACTAAAAGTGAGTTCATTTTTTGCTTGCCTTATTAATTATGGTCCTTAATATATTTTCCTTTTCTTTGATACAGCTCTAGAATATGCTTAGCTTTACTCTCATTCTAAAGATAATTCCTCAATTTACTCACATAGTTGGGATTAATATTCTTGTATGTATGTTCTCTCTCACCTTTTTCTCCTGACTAGCTAGGCTACAGGGGGCGGGGAGTGTTGAGAATATCTGAAGTCTAATCACTCCTTATTAAGACTTTTAAGCAATCTTCCATTTTAAAGCCACAAAGACTTAATATCTCCACATCCTGAGCCTTTTTGGAACTCTTGTGGCATGAATGATCTTTCTCCTTCCTCCCTCTGCTGACACCATCACTATTCACCTATTCAAAATTCTGTCGGATGTCTGGCATCTCTAGCATTTCTTCTGTTCTCTTTGCAATTGTGGGTTTTGACTTTCTTTTCCCCCTTCACTATCATTGCGTTGGGGTTTTAGTAGTGGATGGGGCTATATGTGCATATAATCAATTTGCCATATTTAATTAGATACTGTTTTAATTTTCTTACCTTTGCTAAATTACAATACTGGTCATTAAATTTTAACTTTAGTTATCACTTGTAGTTATCATTACCATGTTCTCCAGGAAATCTGGATTATTGACAGCCCCCCTCAAAGTTCAATCATCAGAATTTCAAACATCAAAGAGTCCATCAGAGGTTTTAATGTTACAAAAATTGAAAAAAATACCCTAACAATTGCTTGTGAAAAGAAATGCTAATTTAAATATCAAAGTAAACCCAACACCTAAAAAAATGTAGTTTAATGCCTATTCTCATTGGTTTAAATAGTTTGAAAACTAAAAATATAAACTGTTTCACAGGATTGCAGAAATAGGTCTGTTTATATATTTTAAACATTTTTTACTAGCAAGTTAAGAAACTTGGCTATAGGTGGCCTAAATACTAATAAAAATAACCAGAGTGTGGACAGAATTTTCAACGACAATCTAAATGCATGGAGTAGCAATACTTGATGGGGTTGATGGGGTTTACTTATGGCAATTGGAGTCTGCCATGCTTAGTAAGAAGCAGCAAGGGGAGTGGGAGGTGGAAATCCCTTCTGTGTGCATTTTTCAGCATCACCCTCTTTTGCTTTGCTGGGGTGTGTATTGTATGCCAGTGGAATATGCTGTCTTTGGTACACATATGAAGGTGAAATTACTGCGTGTGGTCTGCAGGTCATGCAATCCTCCTTTCAAAAGACAATTATTTTAGGCACTAAAATCTCTAAGTATGCGCTGCAATCTTTCTCCAAACACTACTATATGAAATTTTAAATGGCTCCTTTCTGGCCAGTGTGGCTCAGTTGGTTGAGCATTGTCTCATTCTCCAAGGGGATCTCTGGTTTGATTCCCAATCAGGGAATATACCAGGGATTCAGGTTTGATCCCCAGTGGGGACATGTACGGGAGACAGCGATTGATGTTTCTCTCTCACATCAATGTTTCTCTTTCTCTCTTCCCCTCCTCCCTCCCTCTCTCTAAGAAAAAAAATCAACAAAAACATATTTTTTTTTAAAAAAAAAGGTTTCTTTCGCTCTGATCGGTTTGGCTCAGTGGATAGAGCGTCAGCCTGCGGACTCAAGGGTCCCAGGGTCGATTCCGGTCAAGAGCATGTACTTTGGCTGCGGGCACATCCCCAGTGGGGAGTGTGCAGGAGGCAGCTGATCGATGTTTCTCTCTCATGGATGTTTCTAACTCTCTATCCCTCTGCCTTCCTCTCTGTAAAAAATCAATAAAATATATTTTTAAAAAAATTAAAGAAAAAGGTTTCTTTCCAAGTTTATGGTAGTGAGCTAGTAATCTACAAATAAATAAACAAAACAGACAGCATTATTTTAGATACATCATTGCTGCTCAACCTAACCTATCATCTTAGGATGGCTTCTTGATTGACCAACATTAACCCTGTGATGACATATCTTCTTAAGAGTTAGCACTGTGGTGACATGGAACTTATTTGCCTCAAACACCTGCCTGGGCAAAGCCTCCCCTTACTCACTAAACCTGCCAAGCACCCTCCACACGTTCCCTCCCGAGTCACCTCTCACACCCACCCTCTGGCCAGGACAGGAGGACAGATATTCAAAAGCCTATTTATTTTCTTCAATTTTTTTCCGATTTACCTGCTGCTCCTGGAGCTTCTTCTGTATTTCTTCCGAGTTGCAGGAATCATAGACGATGGGCTTGGCCAGCTCTGACTCAATGTGAGCCAGCCAGGTCCTCAGGCTGCTCATGTTCTTATCCAGCTGCTGGACCGCCACCAGAGTCTCCTTCAGCTTCTTGATCCTGTGGGCAGAGAAAGGACATCCACTTCAGAGAAAGGCCCACTCGTGTTTCCCTCCCAAGCAGCAGGGAGCGCTAGGTCTGAAGACAAGTCGCCAAAAGCCAAAGTCCACCCTGCTCAGCCACTTACTGGCTGTGTGACTTTGGGCAGTGGTATAAGCTTCCTGTGTTTCTGTTTCCTCATCTATAAAATGGAGATGAAGTGAGAGTACTAGTGAGATTTAAATGAGTCTAATGCTCCAGGGAACATGGGGGGAAAATCAACAAATATTGGCTATGATTACAGTCAGTATAGCTGTAACAACATAATAGGGATAGAACTCCCATGTGTCACAAAAGTGATTTCCATAAATGATATACTAACTTATACTCCTATGAAGATTGCCTGGGAGAAAGTAGAGATTATGAAGGTACAGTGTCGGAATGCCAAGGAGGCCGGGGATAGAGAGGATGGAAGGGGGGTTGAAGGGAGATGAAGACGTTATAAGAGACAAGATTGGTGGGTAGACTGGAGTAAGATGATAAAAATCCTGTAGTGACACAAAAATGGGTTTGTATGCAGTTTTAAAGATGATTAGGAACTCTGCCAAGATTAGCAAAAGGATCTACCATCAGTCTTGATTTTAAGTTAAAAGTTTGAAGGAAGGCTATTGTGAGAGCCCATTCGGGAAGTAAACAAAAGAGTCCAAACAGCTCCCATCAAAGCCTCCACTTGGGAAACAGTGAGAACAGAGGTGAGGACTGGGTTGCTTAATTTATGAATAGGCATGGTGTGAGGCAGAAGGAGTGAAAAATGTGTTTTGCAGTTGGGTGCTGTCTCAGAGTATACTTGATGAGGAGCAAGTTTTGGGGGTTAATGGTGCATTATGTTTGGGATACGATGAGTCTGAGGGATCAGGTCAGACATGTAAGGAAATGTAGTTGTGGGTCCAGAGGAGAGGATGGAGATGGTTGCAATGATTTAGGTGCTGTTGGCATAGAGTTGAAGTCCTATGAAAGGGTGTGGTCAAAGTACAATCTGAATGCCTCCTCTATTTTTAAAATATATTTTTATTGACTTCAGAGAGGAAGGGAGAGGGAGGGAAAGATAGAAACATCAATGATGAGAGAGCATCATCGATCAGCTGCCTCCTGCACATCCCCTAGTGGGGACTGTGCCCGCAACCCGGGCATGTGCCCTGACCGGTATCAAACTGGGACCTCCTGGTTCATAGGTCGATGCTCAACCACTGAACCACTCCGGCTGGGCGAATGCCTCCTGTACTAGATTCACCTGGTTTGTCGCATATAAATGCAGGTTCCTAGATCCAAACCCAGTCCTATTGAATCAGAAACGCTACGCCTGTGGCCAAGGAATTTGAGTAGTTGATCAAGGGAAACAAAAGTTAAGATATACATTTACGGTCAGGGAGTAATGTCAATGATTTTAAGAAAGTAGGCAGTGAAGGTAACTATGCTATGGCATCTGTAGAATAATCTGGCTACTAGAAAGAAATGATTTGTTTAATGCAGTTTAATATTTGGAATAGCTTTAGGACTTGTTTTAGGCAGAGAATAAGGAATGATGAAGAAGATGCTAAAAACATAAGAAAAAGAAGAGACATTCCAGGTGACGATAGATAATGAATAAGGATGCAGAGGATACGGGTGAAAAGCACAAGGACAGGAACAGGTACATGAGTTTATAAAGGTGTTTCCAAGGGAGGGCAGGGCACGAGCAGGAGTTTGGGAAGGACACATAGTATTTCTCAACTCTATTATCATCAAGAAATAGCAGCAAAAAATCAATTATTAGATTTCTGGTGAGAACTGTCATGGCTGAGTGTGTAGAGACTGCTCTCAAAAGAACAGTGATGTGGATGATAAGCACACGATGAGTGATTTCTGGTACAGCCTTGTTTAAAAGTCAGGTTTTCTTTTGGACCCTCAGGCCTGCCTTTTGGTTCAGGAAATGCCATCACCTTTGATACTGCTCATCATATAGATCATCGGTTCTCAACCTGTGGGTCGCGACCCCTTTGGTGGTCAAACGGCTCTTTCACAGGGGTCGCCTAAGACCATCCTCCATATCAGATATTTACATTATGATTCATAACAGTAGCAACATTACAGTTACGAAGTCGCAACGAAAATAATTTTATGGTTGGTTCACAACATGAGGAACTGTATTTAAAGGGCCAGAAGGTTGAGAACCACTGGATTAGATGAATGGCAGATGAGCTCTACAATACCTCCACCATTGAGGTGTCAACTTGGCTTGACTAGAGAGGTATCTATTTAAAAAATAGTCAAGAGCAACATGACCTTTTAAAATCCGAGGGATGTGATATATTTCAAGGCAGAGATGTACAATAGAATGTTCTCAAAGACTGACAATTTGTACTCAGAGTCATCAAGTATTTCTCGGCTCAATTACTTTCAAATAGTAAAGAGATGATTCTCAAGCTAGAACTGTGACAGGATCACGCGGGGGCTTTCAGATTTCACATGCCTGCTGCTCACTTCCCACCTCCCCACACTCCTCCCCAGGTCACTCGATAGGCTTCTCAGGTCAAGAGCCACTGCTATGAAGAAAATATCTCAGAAGCTAAGTATTTTGGGCATTTTTATCATTTTTAATTGCATAAAACTGGTATTACCACTTCTCTTATAGTTTCTATATATCTGTAAATCAATGTTTATCAGATGAAAAATCTAGTCATGACACAATCACTTTTCCCCTGTCACACAAATACTTTTAAAAGAAGGTTCACGCCAAAACCGGTTTGGCTCAGTGGATAGAGCGTTGGCCTGCGGATTGAAAGGTCCCAGGTTCGATTCCGGTCAAGGGCATGTACCTGGGTTGCGGGCACATCCCCAGTGGGAGATGTGCAGGAGGCAGCTGATCGATGTTTCTCTCTCATCGATGTTTCTAACTCTCTATCTCACTCCTTTCCTCTCTGTAAAAAATCAATAAAATATATATTTAAAAAAAAAAGAAAGAAAATTCACTATGGCCAGGGTAATAATAATACCCTTATTTCATTAATTATGATAATAGTAATAATGCCTATATTTGAAAACATTTCAGTTCATAAAGCCACTCTTAGGTATATTACCTTATTTTTTTCAGTTGTATTTAAAAATTAGGGTCATCTTTTACAAGATAGCCTATTAATTAGGGAATAGAAAGCATGTATTGTAATATGTATATCACTTCCCATAATTCCATTATAAATAAGACTTCTCTAATTAACTTTATAAATATAAATTGTACCCTGTCCCCAGGGCATTTCAAGGTATTGGCCTTAAATAATAGTCCCAAGAACTTTTACATACAATCCATTTATCTTTTTCATATGCCTAAGAAATGAGAAATGGTGTGTCAGCCAGGGAATGACAGTTTTATTTTTTTAAATGTATTTTTATTGATTTCAAAGAGGAAGAGATAAGGAGAGGAAGAGAGAGATAGAAACATCAGTAATGAGAGAGAATCATGGATCAACTGCCTCCTGCACACCCGACACTGGGGATTGAGCCTACAACTCTGGCATATGCCCCAAACGGGGATTCAACCATGACTTTCTGGTTCATAGGTCAATGCTCAACCACGGAGCCACACTAGCTGGGCAAATGACAATTTTTGAATGGCTCCTGAATGCCAAGCTCAGGTGTACATTCTAGCAATGCGCACAGCATGGCCTTGGGATTTAACATAGCCTGGCCACCTGCTTTAGTGGCCCAAACCGGTTATAAGATAAATGATCATCAATAGAGCTACGGGAACAGGACTGGAGAATAGATCATTGCACTGAGATGTGTGTGTCCTGGTGTTACCCCTGCAAGAATGTCCTCTCAGGACCTCTCAACCTAACCAGCATCCTGTCTTCAGAGTTGGGAAGAACTGGATGCTGACTATGCTTGGGGTAGGGTTTTAGAACAACCTCATCATGTCATCAGGGTTTTCTTTGGCGCCAGAGGCTAGGAGAGAACCTCAGTGCTTGTTTCCTACATGCACGTATCTTAACCCCCGGGAGTATTTTTGCACGTTTCTCTCCCCGACGGTAAGTTCCTTGGGAAGGTGCAGCTGTGAATTCCCGCTTTTGTTTTTCTTTTTTCCCTGCCACTGTAAGCGCTGCACAAAGTAGTGCATTAAGTGCCTGCTAAACATTAATAATCACTATTCTAAGTAAAATATCTTTACTTAGTTAACATATTTTCTTTTTAAATTTATTTGATATTACTTAGTTAATATGAAGTGAGTCTTAACATTTTCCTCTAGGTCCAACATTTGCAAATGGTTTATCTGTGCTGAAATTGATTTTCTTGGTTCAAAATTTGCTGGCAAAAATGATTAAAAGATCCAAGGCACAAAGAGGTGTGAGTTAAGACTGTTCCATTGGATATTGTCTATACCAGCCAAATCATTTACAGGGTTAGTTATCTTGTACAATATTGAAGGAGTTCCAACAGTCAGCAGTTAGTGTGCAATGTGTCAAGGGCATCGTGACATGGAAATGCTTGTTCATATAGTCCATTAGGGACAAGTTCCTCTTTCGAATGAATGTGTAAATCTTAGTGAAGTCAATGGGGTGAATATTTAAGTGGTTCTCCTTTTTCATTTTTTTAAAAAAAGTGTATTTGACTACAAATAGCAAATACATTATGTGTTGGAGAGAAAAATGGGTAGTAAAACCCTCATACATCTCCCTTGAGTTTATTAAACTTGGTATTTGCAGGACAAGGATCATTCTTTCTGAAGCGAAAATGTTCAATATTTTCCCCATGATTTCTTTAAAGGAAATCTTTGGAGAAAGTGTCACAATATTTTAATGTATCTGTCATTCTAAGAAGTTTGAGCAACATATCTTTTGGTAGCATCCAGGATTATAATTCAAAATAGATGTTTCAGACGTCACAGGACTGGGTGCGTTTACAAGCCTGTTAAATCTGTAAGTCCCTGCAGCTTATGGTTCCCCTTCCACAGTCCTTATGGGCACTTGACCTTGCTGGAGAAGGATCCT